GGATTTGCCGGTTAGTTTCTATGTAGTGTCTATATACAGTAACATTCCATTAAATGAGACAATGAAAGCGCTAGAATTGAATCTAGATCAACACGCTGAAATGATAACAGGTAAAAAGTTAAGCAAAGGTTTAATAATTAGATTAGTCAATTTGGCAATGTTTAATACACATTTTACCCTCGATTATAGGTTGTATGAGATCTTGTTTAGCCCCTATTTTAGCTAATAACTACATGACCCAGTTAGAAGTTCGCGTATGTCAAGAGACACTCCTATTTACCAAGTAATTAATTCGTTATATGGACGATTACTTTGTTGTCCGGCAGCACGGCAAAGATAGTATGGAGGAATTCCTTGAACTAATACATTAAAATAAATGCAAATACTAATTTTACCATGCAGTTAGAAAATGAAAATAAATTGCTTTTTTTGATCTATTAGTGGAGGTAATAAGTTAGGGATAATTTTCTTTTAATTTCTTTTCCAACCATGCATATAAAGCCCAAATAGGAGTTATGATTTCTATGCTAACAAGTAGTCTGTGTCTAACGGATGCGAACTACAGGGACCAGGAGATGGGTGGATTGAGGTATATGCTGCTTCATTAGGATTAGTAGACGGTGAGCCGAGGACTTCTTGGCACAATTCATCAGTCTTCCCTACACGACAATCCTCATTCGGGTTCCGGAGAGACCAAATCAAAAATTGCTTCCGACCATCTTTTCCTTCCAAATGGAAATTCATGTCACAATGTATCAAACTGAAATTTTTCGAAACCCAGTTTTTTTTATGTCTACTCTTTTATTGCATCAGCAATCACCCACCTAAATGTACAATTTCGCAGAATCCTTGTACTGCGCCAGTCTTTTTGCCTCTCGACCACTTTGCTTTGCAAAATGAATAGTCTTTCTTCTTGCGTATACAAGTTTGAGCATCCGGATCAGATTTTCTGTTGAAAAGTGCCTACTTGTCCAGTACGAATTCGTCCGGGTCAAGACTTAATACAAAACGTAAACCATTTCCTCCAGGTTTTATCATCAAATTAAAGGCAAAATCTAAGAATTTCTTCATCCTGCCGGCAGAGTTTCTTCTATTCAACTAGAAATAGGGAAGAACTAGGACGTAATATCATAATAGCATACGAACTAATATTAATAATCATTCGAATGATGATAAGAGGTTCCACTCATGTGTTGGTACAAAGCATGGGATAAGAAGCCGAAACCAACTCGTAGTGCCGGATGCAACTCTTATCTCAGATTCTAAGCATGGCATGGATCTCCTAAAGCCAATTATCATGTGGAATTTGCGTTGAGACTTGAACAAACAAATGGTCAGCAATGAAAAAACTTCTTCTACCAAGTCATTATGTGGAGAGGGCTCCAAGCTTTATTCAAGACTCCTGCATAAACCCGTCATATGTCAATGGGTTGTGAAATAAAACCAACCCAAAATAGGCTGCTTCAACCGAAAAAATGTAAATAATTTTTGGCATTTTGGCATGCCGATGCACACATCACAATCAGAATTGTCGATTTTCCGAGAAATGTATCTCTTATCGAAATTTGTTCTTGTATGATTTTAAGTAGTATCACTCATTTGCCATATAATATTAATCAGAAAAGGTATATGTTGTATGGGATTGATAAGTTAGAAATGAGTAAAATGGCAGTTACCCAAAAGGTAGTCATGCTTCGCTGGATCCACTTCTGCAAAATCCTCCCAATTCGTTACGACCTTGTGCCTCCTATTTAGCTTCATCTGCTTCTTGACCCACTTTTCAATGAGGTTTTTTCCATCTTTTCTTTTTCCCTCTCCTTTTGGCGTGTATGCGCCTGGCTTCTGATAGAAGTTCTCAACGCCTCCTCCGATGATGACGCTGAAATTGAGCGCATTCTCAACAAGTTGCTTGGCCAAATCGTCGCATTTTTCAGCACCATCATGTTTTCTTCTAAAACAAAAGTTACATTCTCTTATTATATAAACGTACATAAACCAAATATGAGTTATTAATAGGCATTGGCTGCCCCAAATTTGCGCCATGCATTCTGCAAATCTTGAATAGAAACTGGAGTCAGTTTAGGGAACTTAAAGACTGTTAGAAGTGGGTTGACCTCGTTGTCGCAACTTGGTCTTGTTGTCAGGGCGACTATGTAGAACGCACCTA